CTTAAAATTATTGGCTGCTATTTTGTAAGTCTTATCTAAGGCTTAGCAATGTAAGATAGATCTGTACAGATCTGTGTTTTCATGCAGCTGTAGGTTTTGAGAGTTATCATGCAAATGATATGACGTCATGACACCAATTTCTTTGTAAGCTTTGCAGTAAGTGAGCTGTGAGGAGATGGTTACTGTCAAATGTGACCTGTAACCATGATGGTGAAATGGAAGTTTCAAGAAAACAAAGAGGCAGAGGGAAGTCAAAGGAAAAGAAATGAAAGGAGTACAATTCTGACACAGTTTTTTCCTAACCTGTTCTGCCAGAAGGCTTCAAGACCTTGTGGAGTTCTGCACAAATATGATTTGTTTCCACTGAACCCTTGAAAGAATTTTTCTAAATAGGTCAAATACAGTTTCCTTGCTTTAAAGTTGTATATCTCTATTTATGGAACTGTAAGCAACCTTGACAACAAACCAACTGATCTGAGTTACTGAAAATATGCAGTCATGAGGGTATGTTTTTGCACATGGTTGTGTTGTCTTTCAGTTATTGCTGTGGTGTTTTCACGTGTTGGGGAAGAAAATAAATCCATAAAATTTGGAATGAAGTTAACTTCTGTAAAATAATGGAGGCTTTTACTTGGACAACTACAAAAATAATTTGTCTTCCTCTTATTGCAAGCTCACATTTTCTGCTTGAAACTCAAAATGAAGCACATGTTCTTTTTTTCCTTCTTTTCTCTGCATACTTTTACTGTTTTGTTGAATATGTCTGAATTTTTTTAATTAAGTAATTTAATTTTGCTTCTATATGCCCGGGCAAGTAATATATAGCAGTTTTAGTGGCGGTAATTTGGTTTTGTCACTTAAGAAAGTAGAACTTTACCTTTGTCAAGGTTAGTTCACATTAGTTTAATGTTTACTTTCAGAAATAAATGTGCATTGATCTTCTGTCAATTTTCCTCTATTTGGGCAAAAGTTTGATGATGATGGAGATGAAATGGCTTTGTGACTTAAGAATTTTACCTAAGTATGTTTGCATTGCATCTATCATTTAGCAAAATTAAAACTTTGCTAATTACATTTTTTATGTAAACATACAGTGGACACAGTCTTATATTTTTATCTTACACGGTTTTGTCACTAGTCAGAATGGAAAATAAAACTGCAACTCTGACGTGATCCAGGATTAGAAAAAGGCAAAGTCATTGCTCCCATGAGAAATCTAATGTGTGTTTGTTGTTGTTGGTAACTTCCCATTTGGATGTTCTGAGCACGTATGAAAAAAAGCTTTTTACTGCACAATTTGCTTTGATTTTGGAGTTAGTGTCAAGATCCTTTCTACTCTAAGCTTATGCTAAACTTGTGTTGCAGTTCTTAGCTTTGAAAATCATCTTTTATGTGAATTCAAAATAAAAAGGATGCTTTATTTCAGAGCTGGGTTGCCTTTGGCAATGCATTTCAAAGCCAGGTTTCTGGTGTCCATGGCAACCTGTGGAGAGGGAGGAGAGGCTGTCACTGGGTGGACCCAGATGGGGACAGACATGCAAATGGTCATTTGGAATTTGCTAAGTGAGAAAAGCGCTTGAGGTTGAAGAAGGTAGCAGACCTGAAGACTAGGGGCAAGAGTGGGCTGATTAAAGAGGGTAGAGGTCGAAAATGGGAAATGAGTTGATGCGTTTATGCCTAATAGAGCATACTAACTCTGAAAGACCTGAAATAACACCCCAGAACTGTAACAAAATGTTGGTGAGAATTACTGCCTTTTTTTTTTCCATTTCCCTTTGTGTGGTATGTAGAGCAGATGATAGTGCTTCCCTGCTCTTGTTTCTTCCATTAACTCATGGAAAGTGTTTGTGCATCTCTTATTTTGTATCCTTACGTACATATATTGCATAATATCACATAATATTTCTCTTCTTCTCTACCTTGTTCTCCCATGAGCTTATTTTATTCACTGCGTAGACTTGCACTTGAATTTCTGTTGCATAAGGTGTAAGAGCTGAGTAAATGAGAGAGGGCTGTATGAAGCAAGTGTGTCATCCCACACAGGGGCTTCAAAATCATGTTCTGGAGCACAGGGCTGTTTTAAGAAAAATTTGAGAAACATTAAATTTGTCTAGCTGTATGTCTAATGCAGTAGAACATAACATTGTTGTGCCTCTGCATAAATTTATGGTAGATTATAATAAAATTTTATATTTCCTGTCTTGCATAGTGTACACACTATGTGTGTCCCTCTGTTTCAGAAAGAACAGTGAGTAACTGAAAAGGATAGAGGACAGGATGTCTGGCCAGAAAATGACTTTTCTGTAAGAAGTGGTTGCTTGGAGTAGGATGTTTAAGTTTTGAGGAATGGTAACTGAAAGAAAATACAATAAAGGCATCAAAATTGGGACTAACATGAATTTTGCAGATTATACAAGGCAGCAAACTGCCTTGTATAATCTGTGGATACCAAATATAGTTGGCAAGATCAGGCTTAAATGAAAGTATGTCTTCTACTCTGATGCATAACTAAACTGTGGAACTCCTTGATTCTAAGTGCTAAAAATTTCCACAGCTTCAGAAGCAATATTCATGGAAGATTATTTGATAAACAGCTTTAAATCTAAGATTCCTTGACTTCTGATTAAAAAATCACTGAAAATATGGAGAAAAAGCTTAATTGCTTTCAAGTAATATATGCTTATTCTATTCCTATGTATTCCTATTCCTTTATCATCCTAGTGATATTTGGTAATAGCTGCAGATAAAATGCTGGACCAGATGGATTTGGTCTCACATGTGGTGGCTATTTGTATGCACTAGTTAGGATGGTGAGTGCTTTTAAAAAACAGAGGAAGGAATCTGGTAGTTTCATATTCAAAGAACGATTTCAATAATGTATGGTATATTTAAAAAAAATGAAGCCACACATGAAGGAGAAATTCTAAAAGCTGCTTATAGACCCTTTTATTAGGTATGTTCCAGGAATGCAATAAGATTTTTGTGGAACTAAATTTAATGTGTGGTCATAGCATGGGCTGTTTTTTTTGTTTGTTTTTTTTAAAGAGAGTGGGGCAGCTGACTTAACACTGAATGTTTTGTGAGTTGAAGCTTAGAGTCCAGTGAATATTCCTAATTTCCTTTGTTTGTTTATTGTTTTTATTTTTGTTTGTTTGTTTTGTTTAACAAAAGTATAAATTTATGTGCCAGCTGTTGCTTTTCTTGTAAAGTATTTGCTATGTGCTATTGGTTGTGTAGAGGCTTGTTCCTCTGGCCATAGATAGCTGTTAATACCTTTTTAGCAGCACTTTAGAAGAACATTTTTTTTTGAAGAAAGTAAAAGCAATGCCAAACTGATGCATGTTTTAAATGTTTTGATGTGTAAACAATGTCTGGTGCATATCCTTTTGACCAACTGACATTACATAATCTTAGTGTTGATTTGATCTTAAATTCCATGGAATGGTATTTCTAAATATTGTTGTACATTTCATGAAGTTTTACTGAAGCAGTCTTTTGTTGATACTAGGTAAATATAAAATGACATTCCATCGTTTTGCATGCTCCTCCACCTGTGCTTTTTTGTTTTTTTTTTCCTTCTTTCTTTCTTCCAAGCTGCTGCAGAATGTCATGGTTTTTTCCTCAGTGTAAATTGGCTGCATGGTGAAGTGTAGTCTCTGACTAATTGCCTCTTGCTGTCTCTAGGTATTAGCTGTCTGATGGTGATGTGGTTGCACCACTTTCTACACATGGCCTCAAGGATATGGCATTGTGACACCCGTATTAAAATCTGCAAGGCTTGATTTTAAAAGACATTTTTGGTTGGAAAGTTACAGAGGATATAAGCTAATATTGTGGCTTGTTTTTCCCCCTTTATTTTAATGACTATTAGTTGGTAATAGAATAAGGTGTACTTATTCCATGTTTATGCATTCGAGCTTGTAGTTGGTGTTCTAGAGGCTATTTGTTTACAGTTGTTCTCCAGTTCTGTTGAATTAATGTTATCCTATAGATCAAGCAGTATGGCTTAGTACATTTTTTAAACTGAAATGTGTTAAATATCAGTGTTTAATAAGTCATTTTGGTGCATTAGTACCAGATTGAAATATAATGACAGCACACTGGCTTTTTGGGTTGCATGCACCTGTATCTTTCTAAACAGTTTACTAAAATAAAACAAGTGCTGGACTGGTAATTGGTTATTGGCAAATGTGCAACTTGCACATTATTATAGGGAGAGAAACTGTGTGAATGTCTTAATTATTCAGTGGTGTCTTGGTAGCTGTTAAATAGTTCTGTTGGAAAAATATTGTTTGTGGTCTTTGTCCTTTTTAATTAAAAGTACTCCTTCTTTCTTTCTCCCTTCTGCTTCCCAATGAAACTCCAAATACTATCTCAGGAAATGAATTGTAATTCAGAGTAGGAACAGAAACTTGATATTGCCATGGCTTTGTTTCATTATTATAATGTTTGTCTTGTAAAACTATCAGGAAACACAAAGTGGTTTCCCTATAAGGTTTCCTAAAAGTAAATGGAGTTTACCAAACTGTGGGTAAATTTTGGAAACCTCAGATCACTGAAGGGCTAAAGCTTAGATTGGCAAGCTCCACTCCCTTTGACAACTGTAAATTTTTAAGGCATCCAATTGAAAATGTATTAAATACTTGGTCTGCGAACTACAGATTCAGAACTTACAAAACTAGTTGGGCTTTATTTAATTGGAGTGAAGTATGTAGTATAATATTTCACTAATGAAAAGACTTGTTATTCACTGAAATTATTTTATGCATGCTTATATTTTATGGCTATGCAAGTGTTAAATGATGCTTCTTCTTCATTAGCTTGTAAATTAATTTGTTCAAAATTTTATTTTTTAGGGGTTTATAAGAAGAAATAGAAATCTGTTCTCAAGCTGAAGACAAAGTATAAGAAAACTGTATCATGTGTTAGAATACTGAAGAGTGAAATTTCTTGGATTAGTATATTTCTGGATTGCAAAGCAAAAGAAAGAAGAAGTGAAAATGGGGAGAAAGAAAATACAGATCACACGAATAATGGATGAACGGAACAGACAGGTGAGAAACAAGGAGTCTGCATGAAAAAGTTGATCAGTAATCACAAAAATTTATATGGCCTTTCAATACATTATTCTTAATTCACTCTTCCAAAGCCAGTCTTTGTCTTCATGTATATGCAGATACAGAATACAAATAAAAAATATGTCTCAATGCTTTTACTACTGTTGTAGGAGAAATTGTTATTCATAAGTATGATCAATTACTATGTTAAAACAAATTCACTCTAAAATTCACTCCAATTTAAATGGAACCGTGGTCTGTTGTTCTAGTAGACTGGAGAATTGTGTTGAAGCAGAAGCCTTACCTGATCTGATAGCTACTAGGAATGCTTGGTAATGAAGATGGAGAAAGAATAAGGATTTCACAAAGGATGGAATAGAAGTATTTGCTGCGGCTTTTTTTGCAGTGGAGTTTGATGTGGCTGTGGACTAGGAACTGCAATGCTTTGGATATAGAAATGAATTTCATGAACCTGATTCTGTTTAGAAGTATTGATTTATATTCTTTGTTAGAGCTGTTTACTTTAAAAATTGTCAGTCAAAAGGGAGGAGTGCTAAGAAGTCCCATTTTTTGAAAAGCTACTTACTTGGTTGCTTTTGGCCTAATAAAGAGTTGTCCTGTGAACCTTGAAAGGTACCAAAAGTTGATGACTGAGCAGTACTGTTTCCTTTTAACGGCTGAATTGCTACATGAGATACAAAGTAAAATTTAAATTGGATATTGAAATTTCTAGGAGGGTGTGTGGAAGGAAGAGTACTGTAGGAATGACGCAAGATCTTTAAGAACAGTCATAGTGGATGAGACCAAATATTCCCATAGGCCAGTGTCTTTTGTCCAGTGATGGTCATAAGCAAATCAGTGTAGGCTAAAGATGCACATGTTACACTGGTCTGTAATCCTCTTCCAGCTTCTGACTATTCTTAGCTCAAGGATTTCCTGAGCTGGATGTGGTTTCCGTAGATTTAGTAACCATTAATGTTTTTTGTTTTTTTTTTTTCTTTTCCCCACCCCCCGCCACGGAGCTTGTTCTGTTACCCTTTGAGCCTTTGTGAAGTTGCAGCATTTACAGCATCTTTTGGCTAGGATTTACTATAGGTCTGTTACCTGTTATTTCAAGAAAAACCTTCTCGTTTATGCATAGTCATGGTTCTGCTCTTGCATGAAAGAGGCTGCAGTCACTCCCTGTCTAGCCTGTCCATTTTGCTTGTTATTCTGTGGACCTCTGCCTTATTTTCTTATTTCCTCTTAAAGTAACTTTTTTCAGGCTGAAGCATGCTAGCTTAGCTGCTTTAATCTATATTAAAACCTTTTCTTTATTTATTCCATGCCTTTGACCATTGTCACTAATTTTCCCTAAACCTCCTTGAGTGTTGCTGCATTATTTTTAGTGGCAAAGGGACCCATGACTGCACAGTGCTCAAGATGCATGCAAAACTTGGACTTATATAGTGGTGTATTGATATTTCTTCTCTGTTCCCTTGCTAGTACTTGACTTTCTTTTTTAACTTCTGAGTGTCAGTGTGATGTTGGAGTAGTGTCAGAATTCCACAGGACTGTCTTGCTGCTGACACATCAGCTCAGAGCTCATTGTTTTGTGTGTGAAATCGGCTTGTTTTTCTCCCTGTGTCCCTTTAAAGCAATGTAAACTCTGAGAAGACTATATATAGCAAGAAAAGTATTATTGGAGTTTGGGAGAAAGCCAAGAATTGTGTTTGAACAGCTTTAATCACACAGTGACTCTATGTTTGATGTAGATAAATGTCTTAAGTACACGTAGTAAAACTCGATGAATTAATAACTTCAGTTCTTTCAGATCTTGCTCTAGAACTTCAGGCACATTGAAGAGATGGAAATTGATGACTCTCGGTTTTTTTAAACTTATTTGGACTGTGGTTCTATTCTGCTTGAAATACAGTGTCTTTATACTATACCCTGACTCTGGTGTGGTGGATTTTTTTCAGAGGGAGTGGTTTTTTGCATCTCCATCTTGCTGTTCAGATTGGAACAATGGAGAGGAGGCGAAACAGTGCTTTTGCATCAGCTTTTAGCCCCCTTGTACCATTGCTGTGGCTGAAGCAAAATATGGGGATTCAGTTCTAAGTTTTGTTTCTGGCTGTTTTTTGGCTAGCAGTCTTTTGAGCTCTTTAATGTCTAGGAAGAGACTTTAAGCTCTACCTTAAAAATGGAATTAGGCTTGCTTTATCATTTTGTTAGTGAAACTGAAATAATTATAGCATAATTCTTGTTTTTAAAAGGTTTCGAAGAGATAAAATAGCTTTTGTTAGTGGAGCCAGATTTTTTTATGTGTAGAGGTATTGATGGTGTTCTTTAACTCCACTGGTGTCCTGTGGTTTTCATAGCTAGTATATAGAGTTTAAACACACTAAAATGCCCTGAAACAAAGGATATTTATTAGGTATTAATCTACTTTTGAGAATTTTTTCATTGACCCAGATAAGGAGGGCCAGTAGGAGTTGTTTTGCTGAGTGGAAAGTATAGTTCAGTTGTATTCTGTTAGTTTTTCTATGGTATATGTAGCTGGCTAGTAGGCCACTCATAAACATGCATATGATGTCCTGTTTAGATGTTTAGTATGATGTTTAGGGTTTTTTTTCTTTGTTTGAAAGTAGGAGTAGAATGGCATAGAGCTTTGCCTGCAGAGCAAGTTTGTGTAATGTCAATGGGAAAAAAACTGTTGTTTTAACAGCGGCATCTTATTTCTGGTGGGATTGTATGTGAGCTCAAAACAGAATATATGGACCATTACTCTTGGGGATTACAATAGTCATGAGACTGTCATTGTATTATTAATTAAGCAGTCTTATCTGCTTGAATGAGCGGTATGACATTTATCTTCATTAAGCTGAAGAGAATAATGTACAGTAAATTAGATATCAGAGGAGCTTAATCTTGCAGCCTTTGCTCTCTCGTTTCCCCCCTTTTTGCTAAGAAATAGAGTAGTGCTGAGGAAGCCGTTGGCTTGTAATAAAGGTACATATTTTTTGTTTGTGTGGTCCTAAATGGCACGGAAAAAAGAAATTTGTAGAACTAATATTCTGCTTTCTGAGTTTTTAAATGAAAGCTGAGTTTATAATAGGCTATGTGCATCCCAGGAAGGTTTGGACTCCAGTGGTGGTAGGGTTTCTGCTGAGCACTGTCCAAACACAAAATGAGAAATGGATGCTAGCTGAGCATCTCCCAAGACAAATAGTAAAGGACTTCTTGAAGTAATGTAGCACACACACATCTTGTTTATGATGCATTTTTCCTGACAAAAACAAATCATAAGCATCTGTCTATACTTGAGTAATAATCTCTTTAAGTATCTTGTAATTGAAATATCCAGATCAACAACGGCTATTAAAAAACAAACAAACCACAGTTTTCCCAAATCCCCTGGGGAATCCAAAGTAATTCTTAATGTCCCATCTGAGATAGGATAAATAAATCCCAAGTGTTCCAAAAGAAGGCATGTGTAAAGTAAAAAATGCTAGGAGACTTAAAAAAAATTCCTTTAAAAAGTGGCTCTATTTTATTATATGTTAATAGTCATGTTTCCACGTGCATTTGGGAAAAGTACAGCCCAGTAATCAACTCGTTGAATTGATAACTGAAATTAAAATACAAACAGCAGATGTATTAAGGTGAAGTCTGTCAATTTTTTTGGCATCTTGTGCCACTAATGTATTGTAATTGTTAAACAATAAGTAGATAAAAAGATCTGCTTACTCTAGTTGAATCTTGAATGTGTTACAGCACTATTACATAAAATGGTTTCAGAGACAGTGCTGTATCTTAATGGAGCTTCTCACCAAAGGTGCTTTAAAAGGGTTGAATTAAAAAAGTTATGGTAAGTATTCACTTTTCATCTGAATATGGATTATTGAAGCCTTTCAAAAGGCTCTGTGATTAGTCATCTTTAAACAGGAAGAATTTTCTAAGTTAAAAACACTACACAGGAAGTTGGGTGCAACTGTGGTTGTAATAATATGTCTGATATTCCATATTCTCATCTTTCTAGGTCTTCCGTTTATTACCTCCATCTCTACTGTGGCTAAGTGTAAATCATCCAGATTTTCAAAAATCACAGGCATGCTGCATTTTTAGGGGGAAGAGACACATGCTAAAATACATTTTAAATATTTCTTTCAACTTCTTTTTTTCTGTGGATGTGGATACTGATTTACATCTGGAGAGCAATCTCTGGTCACAGTAACTTGGCAAACATTTGTGATGGAAGAGCCAAGTGTGCATATACTGTTTTAATAATACAGTTATTGCCAGCATCCTTGTACATAGTTTTAGGGTATCTGTCTGTATCCCTCTGAGACTCTTGATGTGGTGGGAAGGATGGTATATACTCTGTATTGTGGATGGTGTTAAAAAAGTAATATGCTTGAGATACTAATTTCTGGAAAAAATGCCTCGAGGTGTGTATACATAGAATTTTCCCATCCATCTTCCAAAAACTTGACGTACATCTGGGTAATTAACATGTTAGACTATAGAAACCCACAAAACAGGTTTGATTGTTTCTTGTGTTTTACTTCATTCCTATCTTGCAAAAGAATTCTTGCTGTTGTCTGTTAAACATGTAGGTCACCTACCTGTCAGAGAGGCATACACTTTGAACTGTAATATAGGGGTGTCCATATGGCCATAGAGGTGTTCCATTCAGCACCGAAGCTCAGATTGAAAGCCTAGACCCAAAATAGCATCTCTGTTTAAAATATTTCAGAACATTGACTTCATGAGTTGCTTTTGAGACACTTAGGAGGACATGAATAAAAATACTGTCCATTAAAAAAATGGCCTCAGCATCAGACCTGTGTTGGATTCAGCTTGATGTCAAATACATTGATATTCTTATATCCCTAACTAAGGATTCCTTCTTATAGAAGGAATCAATTTTTGAATGTTGTTTTTTTTTTTTTCTTCATAATTGATGGTGATTTTTGTAACTGACTATCCCCCTTCCGCAGTGGGCAAATGGCACTTTTTGGTTGTTCTGTAATGGATTTATTTCCTGACAGGATTTGAAATTGGACAGAATGATTCTTCTGTGATGTTTCCAAGTGGCAGGAAACAGCTTAAAAGTATAAGTGAATCTGATTAGATGGTTTAATAGCAAAACAAAGTATGTTTCTTAACTTTGCATAATAAATCATATTACTTTGCATAAATCCTATTACATAGTAACCATGTTGCTTCCATTGATATTGCTGTTTTCTTTGATTTCATTAGAATTAAGTTTGTGAGTAACTTGAATAAACCAGTTACAGAACAAGTGATCATCAGAGATGATGTGATCCAGAGATACTGTGATTCCTGGGAGGTCAGTGTTGGTTGAAAAGAAGGAAGTACAGTTAGAGGACCCTGCAGAATTTAAAATGTAACTCTTCTTAGTAGCTATAAAGCCTCTTCATATTCATATTCATATACCAATGGAAGAGTTGAAGGGGTGTGTTTGTCTAGCTTAGTCTAATATAGAGCATTGGCCCTAAAAGTGGCTCCCAGATATGACAGGCAGTTCTTCTTTTAAACTTGTATTTGTGTTCACTTACGTCAGTTGTTTTAGTGTTAAGAATAAGTAGTGTAGGCTTGATTGGTATATTCCTTGAATGCTTGATTGTAGTTTTTCAGACCCTTCCTGTGTGTTTTTTAAAAAAATAATCATTATTCTTTCTTCTCTAGGTCACCTTTACAAAGAGGAAGTTTGGATTAATGAAGAAGGCATATGAGTTGAGTGTACTCTGTGACTGTGAAATAGCACTCATCATTTTTAACAGCTCTAACAAACTCTTTCAGTATGCCAGCACTGATATGGACAAAGTTCTACTTAAATACACAGAATACAACGAGCCCCATGAAAGCAGAACCAACTCAGATATTGTTGAGGTAACAATTTGAAAAGATACATCAGTTTTCTCCCTAATATCTCAAATATAGAGCAATATAGAGGATTTTAAGATACTTTAAACAAATTTATTATTAACTTTAAAACCTTGTCATAAAATGTAAATGATTGTTTTTAGTCTGGTGTATCAAAGGCAGAAAGTTGTATTTACAGCCATGTTGTTTTCCCATCTGCCCCCCACCCCCTGCCAGTTCCTGGGAAACATGTTTGATTTCAACACATATGGCCATGGAAACAGAGGTGTGAAAGATGATTGTTTTTCTGGGGGAGGGAGGCAGGAAGTGTTCAAGGTTTTAAGGGAAATAAGTCAATTGGATGAAGACTAAGGTCCAAAAAGTGCCCTCAGCCTAACAGACAGTTACAATTGGCCCCTTTTCTGAGGTAACAGCCACTTTACTGGTCAAATGCTGCACATGGCTCAAATCAATCTGTGCTGCCCCTTGTTCAGCCAAAAACAAACAAAAAAAGTTAATCTGTGGAGCAAAGTAATTTAGTAAAATTTGTTGTCCAGTCACTCTGTATTTAAAACATAGCAGTAGAATGACTGCAGTAGAATTTCTGTAGTAATAGAATAGCACAAATGTATTTACTTAAAGGTATTGGTTTCATCTACTTTTATTATGCTTCTGCTTTAAATAGAAGTCTTTCCAGTACTTAATTTCTATATTAGGTGCAGTAGAAATCAAGGATTTTCTTGGCGGTTGGAGCCTTTATGTACTGTAACTGCATTTCAGATAAGAGTCATGTCTTCAGTAGTTCTGTAGATAGACCAAAACAGGTGGCTGACTTAAGTGCTTAATTTAAATTCTGAAGTTGTCTTCAGAACAAATGCCTTGCTTTTTAGGAATGATTTAGGAATAGTGATTAGCCTTGTGTAGCTGAAGAGTCTATTGCCAAGGGGATCACAGAGTACAGGGAGCGCACTAGTTGATCTTGTAAGTTTTCAAGCAAAAATCAGATTGACAAAACTGAGGAAGAGACAAATGCCTTTTATTTCCTTCTGAGAAAATTCTCTGCCAATTTGTCAACTGTCTTTTATGATCTGAAATAAAACCTCCCCAACTTGTCTTCAGTTTTGAGTACTAATGAGAAGGATAATATGAGCTTTGAAGGGTTGAAAGAGTATTACTTAGTCACTGGATTACTATAAATAAGGGATAGCCACTCTAGAGGAAGGGAAATCCTAATTCTTTCAAGGTGGGCTTTTGACTGTGACAGGCATGACTTTTGAGATAGAGATGCAAGCAAGTCAGTTAAGCAGGCTGATTTATTTTGCATCTGAGGCCTCTTTGTTTTATGACTTGTAATGGTAGTGCTGCCTCACACCATGAGGAATAAAAACCTCTTCCAAAATAATTTCAACACAAGGCTTTCTTGTTTGGTTTGATTTTTTAATTTGTTGATATTGGTTTTTTTTACCAGTGTCAAGTGTTTGGCAACTATGTTAAAAAAGGGCAGTTAGCACCCAGGTGAATATATGGTTTCTATTCTGGGGGAACATGCAAGGACTCATCTGCAACTTCTTTCTCATTTTCCTTTGAATTGACTGTATGGGACTTGGGACTTTACCTCTCATTTTAAAAACATAGTATAGTTTTGGAGTGCATCTCCCAGTTTCTTCAGAGTAGTCCTGTGTGCTCCTTAGTCTGCTTGAAATATTTGTGTTTTTTCTTAGAAAAAAAGTTACTTAGCCAAAGAGTGGAGTGTACACCTTTTTGCAGGGAAAATACATTATGGCTGTCTTCTGGATGGGAGAGTTAAATATGTAGAATGAGATATATATAAGGTCAATATATGTAAGGTAGATTGATATTTTCTTTGGATTCCAAGAAAAAAAAAGTACAGTGTTTCAGAGAGACACTGCAGTTTCATTGTTTACAACTGATTGCATTTCAGTTTTGCTCTGCCTTTATGGTAACTTTGTTGTCTGTTAGCATTATTCTTTGGGCAATTTAGAGATATAATTTGTGGTTGGGTTCAGATGGTTTGCTTCCCACTGTAAGTAAATCATGTCTGGTTTAGAAAAACATTTCAGTGGAAAATTCCATGGAAAATTGTCTACTTTTTTTGCCTTACAATAAAGCTGAATTGGTTCAGTGGAGAGTATGATGTGCTTTGGAGCAAATGTAGTGATGGATGCAGCATAAGTAGGGAGGAACACAGGAGGAGACGTGAGATAGGGGAAGAGTAAGACTCTGTATTTAAATAGCAGCAAGTTCCCAGAAGCTCACTGCTAATTTCACCACTGATGGATGCTTGTGGCATGACAGAGGTGAAGTTGCAGCACCAGCTTTTTTGGAAATGTTCTGAAAGACAATGTAAAATGGCTTCTCTTTATTTTGCTTATGTAGGAATATAATTTTAACAAATACAAATTACAACCTCCCCCCCAAAAAATCTCTCAAATGTAGAAATCAACTTAGAATAAATAATCCCATTTAATGGAGTTATAGCTGATGTATATACCTTAGTTCATGTTTTAGTAATTCACTTGCCTCCTTGAATGTGACAGATGGTATTTATTGTGATGTAGGCTCACTGTGAAGCTAGTCTTGACCCACTGTGTTCCTGATATGCATGACAGGAGGGTTGGGTTTTTTCCTGTACTAGAAAGATATTTCTACGCAGCTCAAAAGATGTATAAGGCAAGAAAAAAATCCACTTTTACTTATTTTCAGCACTGGATAATGTTGTAGATGATTAAGTGAAATTGATGAGCCATCTTCCCCTTATAGTTGCCTCCTGTTCAATTTTGGCATAGGAATTGCTTTCATATGCCCAGAGCTTGGTATCTCTGCTACTGCTGGAGCGTTTGTGTGAAAACATAGTAGGAGGGAGAGCACTGTCATCTTAAATGAATGCTAACATTTTTTTATATGTGCCCTTATGTCTTTCACTGTGCATGTTACTGTAGATGTGAATGCTCTGTTACTGTCCTGTACCTACTTTTTTCTGATGCTTTATTCCTTTTATGTATTTTCATAAATACCATTTTTCTTTTTAACTTCTGTTAATATTTTCTTGTCCCTCCCCGCTTCTTTTTTTCTCAATAAAGTGTGATGTTTCCTTTAAATCTCACGAGAGGGGAAAAAAAAAATCTATCTTCTGTTGAAATTCTGAAATGGTCTTTTCATATTACTTCAGAAATATAAATTATAATTCAAAAAAATTCTTCAATGTCCCTTCCTCTTGAAGAATGTGGTCCTTTTCACATCAGATGAGAGAGAGGTTTTGTTCTGTTGTATAATAAGGTTTCATTTGTCTTATTTTTTCATAGTTACTAGAGTAAAGGTTACTGTACTTGCCCAGTTTAGATGGGCTGTATAGGAATATTAAACAAGTGAAGCTTTCCTTCAGTGTGGGCTTTGAATTCTTGGCATATTAGGATTGTGTATTTAGTATTACAAAGCTGCAATGGCTCATTTAAAGACTTACACCAAAGCACTGTCTGTTTATGAAGGTCTTGCTGTAGGTGTTAGAGCATTTGATGCTTTAATGTTCATGGGCTTTTTTTCTGTAGCACATTATTCTTGGCAAGTAATTATTTTTCGTGAAGAGAGAAGTAGAGTACTTGTTCAGAATAAAATGGGAAGAGTTTCAGGTTTTATCAGGATTCTGTGTCAATATGGTTGACAGAATGTTTTAATGTATAGAGAACAATTTCCAACCTTGAGCGTTCATTCTTTTTTGACCCAAAGGAAAGGGACATGGACAGACACTCATACTGAATCTTCTTTAGTGTAGAGGGGTTTAAGATTAGTAGAGATTACCCAAAAGGTAACACTTCTGTGTTGAGTCCTTCTGTCCCTCAAGAGGGCCTCATAAAATAGCAGTTGTTCCCCCTCCTCCAGCTTTTTCTGGGAGCCAAGGGCTGAAGACAGGCTCTTCTTGCCTGTGTAGCTCGACTTTTTATCTTTTATCTCCTTTTTGATGTTCTTTGAGTGATACAGCAAAATAGGGTTTATTTTACCTACATTGGCGTGGGTGGGTTGTGCATGTTCCATCATATCACTTCATCAAACTGAGGTGATTTGAATTTTAGAAGCCTGTGTAAAATGTGACCTACTTTGCTGGTTTGCATCTGTACCCAGGAGAATTTTCAGGTAGGTGTCAGTTAATGAGCCTTCTCAGTGCTCTATAGTCTAATGCTGTTTTCAGTGTAGTATAATGTGCTGTATGAGGCTTCTTTACTGACAGCTGTCCTTGAAATATGCAATAATCTGTAATAAAAATAATAACTAAAAAAATAAATAAAATTATTCAAAGCTATATTATGTGATTACTGTAAACATACTTATCCTTGAAAAGACAGCTGTATTGGAATAATAATTTTTTTTTTTTGGTGTTTACACCAAATGATTTGGACATTTTATTAAATTTCTAAACCTGGGAAGTGCTGACTCTAACAAGAAGGAATATTTGTAATGGCTTGGTGGGGTACTGGTCATGTCATAGTTCTGACAGAAACAAGACAGCAGATAAATATATGTGCTGCTACTTAGAGTAGTCTAAATAAACCAGTTTCATCTTACAGAAGCTCTATTCAGTGCATTGTCTTGCATTAAAATACCAAACAGACCCTCTGTTTCTCTGCCTTTTCCCAACATTTTAATGAAGAGCTGTTAGAAGAGCAGTGTGTGTTCTTTAGTCATAGACATAAGACAGTATCAGATGCACGATTGTCAGCTCATAGCTTTGAGTAAGAACATGGAGCTCATCTGCACATGTAGAGCCCACAGCATAAAGAAGCAGATGCATCTCCACAGCCAGATGGAGCATATGCCAAGAGACAAGTGTAACAGTGTGGGGAGCATAAACAGAAAAGTTGATGTTGAAACACTGTGTTTATAAACCAAAAGCATTTTGCTTTTATTTTTAATCTAGTTTGTTTTTTTTTTTTCATCTCTAGCATTGCTTCTTTTCCAGGCTATGGATTATCAACATGCATTTTGAACTGTTACTGATGTGTCATACAGTATAG